GACCGCCGACCCTGAGTGACCACTGGAGTGACCTCTGATCCTGAGTGACCACTGGAGTGACCAATGGAGTGACCGCCAACCCTGAGTGACCACTGGAGTGACCAATGGAGTGACCACTGACCCCGAGTGACCAATGGACTGACCTCTGATCCCGACTGACCACTGACCCTCCGGAGTGACCTCTGACCCCGAGTGACCAATGGACTGACCTCTGATCCCGACTGGCCACTGACCCTCCGGAGTGACCTCTGACCCCGAGTGACCGCTGACCCCTGCAGTGGCCGTGGCAGCTCCGGTGTCACCTGTCCGTGGCTCAATAAAAACTCTGAAACCTCCCCAAAACACAGCCCGGCCACTCCCAGTATGAACCAGTCCGTCCCAGTCTGACCCAAATGCTCCCAGCCCGTCCCAGTAAGAACCAGTCCATCCCAGTATGACCCAGTTTGAACCAGACACCCCCAGTCCATCCTAGTCCCTCTCAGTATGACTCAGACCCTCCCAGCCCATCCCAGTAAGAACCAGTCCATCCCAGTCTGTCCCAGTAAGGCTCAGGCTCTCCCAGTTCATCCCAGTTTGGTTTATTAGAGCAGCAGCCCGTGCTGGCGCCGCTCTGCTCCCAGTCCCTCCCAGTATAACCCAGTCTGTCCCAGCCCATCCCAGTCTGTCCCAGCCCATCCCAGTCTGTCCCAGTAAGAACCAGTATAACCCAGTTTGTCCCAGTTTGGTTTATTAGAGCAGCAGCCCGTGCTGGCGCAGCACGGCCGTGAACGGCGCCGCTCTGCTCCCAGTCCCTCCCAGTATAACCCAGTATGACCCAGTCTGTCCCAGTATAACCCAGCCCATCCCAGTCTGTCCCAGCCCATCCCAGTCTGTCCCAGTATAACCCAGTCCATCTCAGTCCATCCCAGCCCATCCCAGTAAGGCTCAGGCTCTCCCAGTTCATCCCAGTTTGGTTTATTAGAGCAGCAGCCCGTGCTGGCGCAGCACGGCCGTGAACGGCGCCGCTCTGCTCCCAGTCCCTCCCAGTCCCTCCCAGTATAACCCAGTCTGTCCCAGCCCATCCCAGTAAGAACCAGTATAACCCAGTTTGTCCCAGTTTGGTTTATTAGAGCAGCAGCCCGTGCTGGCGCAGCACGGCCGTGAACGGCGCCGCTTTCTTCTCCGCGTTGCGCTCGGCGCGGCGGCGCAGGCTCTGAAACGGGGCGGAAAACGGGAGAATTGGGAAAAAGGGGGAAAAATGGGGAAATTGGGAAAAATGGGGGGGGGGAAAACGAGAGGATTGAGAAAAATGGGAGAAAAACCGGGGAAAAAAGGGTGGGGGAGAAACCAAGGAATTGGGAAAAATGGGGGAAAAGCAGGAAAAAATGGGAAAAAGGGAGCGAAAATGGGGGAAAACCAGGGGAAAATTAGGAAAAATGGGGAGAAAAGGGGGAAAATTAGGTAAAAATGGGGGGAAAAAAAGAGAAATACAGGGGGAAAATGGGGAAATCAGGAATAAAGGGGAGCAAGAGGGAAAAAAAAATTCCCCGATTTTGTTTTTTTCCCCGGTTTTGGGTTTCTTCCCCCGTTTCCCTCACCATCATCTTCCTCTTCTTGCTGTAGCGCAGCTTGGCCTTCTCCTTCCTCTTCTCCTCCAGGGCCTCGGTGACGTCCCGGTACTTCCAGCCCACCTCGTGTGCCAGGCGGCCCAGCACGGCAAACTGGGGGCACTGGGGGGTCAGGGGGGCCCAAAAACCCCAAAAACCCACCCAAAAACCCACCCAAAAACCCAGGGAATCCACCCAAACCTGCCCCGGGCCCAGCACGGCAAACTGGGGGCACTGGGGGGTCAGGGGGGCCCAAAAACCCCAAAAACCCACCCAAAAACCCACCCAAAAACCCCAAAAACCCACCCAAAAACCCCAAAAACCCACCCAAAAACCCCAAAAACCCACCCAAAAACCCCAAAAACCCACCCAAAAACCTGCCCCGGACCCAGCACGGCAAACTGGGGGCACTGGGAGATCAGGGGGGGCCCAAAACCCGCAAAAAACAGCCCAAAAAACCCCCAAAACCAGCCAAAAAAACCCCAAAAATCCCATAAATCCCCTGAATTCCCCCAAAATCCCAAAAAAAACCCCCCAAAATAACCCCAAATCCCCCCCAAAAAACCCCAAATCCCATAAAATCCCCCCGAATTTCCCTAAAACCCCCCAAAAATCCCCTTAAAACCCCCCAAAAGTCGCCCTGAAAAAACCCTCAAATCCCCCTAAAATCCTGTAAAATCCCCCCAAAACCCCCCTAAAAAAACCCCCAAATCCCATAAATCCCCCCAAAATCCCCTTAAAATCCCCTAAATCCCCCCAAATCCCCCTAAAATCCCGTAAAATCCCCCCAAAACTCCCCTAAAAAAACCCCCAAATCCCATAAATCCCCCCAAAATCCCCTTAAAATCCCCTAAATCCCCCCAAATCCCCCTAAAATCCCGTAAAATCCCCCCAAAACTCCCCTAAAAAAACCCCCAAATCCCATAAATCCCCCCAAAATCCCCTTAAAATCCCCTAAATCCCCCCAAATCCCCCCAAAATCCCGTAAAAACCCCCCAAAAANTCCTTCCTCCCCCTCCCCCTCCTCCTCCTCCTCCTCGTCGCTGGCCACGCCCCCCGGCGCCAGCGGCTCCGCCTCCTCGCGCGGAGGCTCCGCCCACGGCTGCGGCTCCCCGGAAGCGAAGGCGCCGTAGAAGGCCACGCCCCCGTAGTGCACGAGCGCGGCGATCAGGAACACCCACTGCCACTCCTCGCGCGTCTGCGCCAATCAGCGCCCGCCGCGCGCCCGCGGGGGCGGGGCCCGGCGGGCGGCCAATGGGGGAGGGAGAGAGAGAGAGAGAGAGAGAGACAGACACACACAGCGGGAAAAGGAGGGGGCGTGGCCAGGGGGAGAGAGCGGGAAATTGAAGAGGAGGGCGGGGCCGAAGGGAGGGGGCGGGGCCAGGCGAGCAGTGAGTGACAGGCCCCAAATTCCGGGGCGTCCCCCCGTGTCCCTCTGCCCCCCCAATGTCCCTCAGTCCCCCCAAATGTCCCATTGTCCCTCCTCCAAACCCCCCCAAATCCCCCCTCCTCACCTTGCGCGTGGGTTTCAGGCGGATGATTTTCAGCGCCGCCGGCACCACCATGCGCTTCCGCTGCAGAACCCAAATTTGGGCGTTTTGGGGTTTTTGGGGGGTGCTTTTGGGGACTTTTGGGGGGGTGGGATTTTTAAGGGATTTTAGGGGGGTTTGGTGGGGTTTTACCAGGTTTTTTTTGGGGGGATTTTAAAGGAATTCCATCAGATTTTGGAGAAATTTAATCACGTTTCAGGAGAGTTTAATCAATTTTAGGGGAATTTGGTCAGATTTTAGTGAAATTTAATCAGTTTTAGGGGAATTTGATCAATTTTAGGTCAATTTAACCCATTCCAGGTGAATTTAACACATTTTGGGTGAATTTAACTCATTTTGGGTGAATTTAATAAGATTTTTAGGTGAATTTAACCCATTTTGGGTGAATTTAACCCATTTTAGGTGAATTTAACCAATTTTGGGTGAATTTAACCCGTTCCGGGCCCCGCGGTGTCTCAGAGTTTGGTTTTTCTCAGCAGCCATCAAACAATGTAGGTACAGATGACATCATCGACACCGAGGGGGCTTGGGGCATTTTGGGGGGATTTGGGGAATTTGGGGAGGGGATTTTTGGGGTAAATCTGGGAAGTTTTGGGAGGGGATTTTGGGGTGGATCAGGGCGCTTTTGGGGAGGGGATTTTGGGGTAAATCAGGGAGATTTTGGGAGGAAAATCTGGGGTGAACCAGGGGGGTTTTGGGAGGGATTTTGGGGTGAATCAGGGCGCTTTTGGGGAGGGGATTTTTGGGGTGAATTTGGGGGGTTTTGGGGTCCCACCTTGTCGTAGGGAGGGGGGATCCCATCGAACACCTTGAGCCGCTCCAGCGCTGCCTGGCCCCGCTTGGTCTTGTGGGGCAGCATGCCTGGTTTGGGGAGAAAAACGGGGATTTTGGGTCAGACAGGGGGTTTGGGGAGAAAAACGGGGATTTTGGGGTGAAAAATGGGGATTTTGGGGTGAAAAACGGGGATTTTGGGGTGAAAAATGGGGATTTTGGGTCAGACAGGGGGTTTGGGGTCAGACAGGGATTTTGGGTTTTTTTGGGGAGGTTTCTGGGGGATTTTCAGGGTTTTTTCTTTTTTTTTTTGGGTGTTTTTGGGTTTTTTTAGGGAGATTTTGCGGGAGGGTTTGGGGATTTAGAGGGGAACTTTTTTGGGGAGATTTTGGATATTTTTGGGGACTTTGGGGTATTTAGGAGTGATTTTAGGGGTTTTGAGGACTTGGAGGTTTTGGGGGTTTCTTGTGTGAATTTTGGGGCTTTTTTGGGAATTTTTTTTGGTGGATTCTGGGTATTCTGAGGGAGTTTTTTGGGTATTTTTGGGTATTTTGAAGGAGCTTTTTTGGGTATTTTTCAGTTTTTTGGTATTCTGAGGGAGTTTTTTTGGGTATTTTTTTTGGTGGATTCTGGGTATTCTGAGGGAGTTTTTTGGGGTTTTTTGGGTATTCTGAGGGAGTTTTTTTGGGGTTTTTCAGCATGCTGAGGCAGGTTTTTTGGGCATTTCTCAGTTTTTTGCATCCCGAGCGAGTTTTTGGGTGTTTTTTGGGTGGTTTTTGGGTGTTTTTGGGCCCCTCACCTCGGACCGTGCGCCAGAAGATGCGGCTGGGGGCGCGGAAGTGGAAGGGGCCCCGGGAGGGGTTGGTGTTCATCCTCTTCCTCAGGAAGGCCAGGAACTTCACTGCGGGAAACGGGGCAGGAAGCACCGAAACGGGGCAGAATCGGTAAAAACGGGGCAGGAAACACCGAAACGGGGCAGAATCGGTAAAAACGGGGCAGGAAACACCAAAATGGGGCAGGAAACACCAAAACGGGGCAGGAAACACCAAAAACGGGACAGGAAACACCAAAAACGGGGCAGGAAACACCAAAAACGGGGCAGGAAACACCGAAACGGGGCAGAATCGGTAAAAACGGGGCAGGAAACACCGAAACCCCCAGACCCCCAAGTGCCCCCCTGGAGAGCCCTGCGGAACCTTCCGGAACCTTCACAGGACCCAAAACCCGGGGTTTCCCTCCCAAAATTTGAGAGATTCCTCCCAAAATCCGGGATTTCCCCCCCCCAAATCCATTATTTCCCCCCAAAATCCGTGACTTCTCTCTCAAAATCCGGGATGTCCCCCCAAAATCTGATATTTCCCCCCAAACCCGAAATTTCCCCCCAAAATCCGGGATTTCCCCCCAAACCCGGGATTTCCCCCCAAACCTCTGGGATTTCCCCCCAAACCCGGGATTTCCCCCCAAAACCCGAAATTTCCCTGCAAAATCCGAAATTTCCCCCCAAAACCCGAAATTTCCCCCCAAAATCTGATATTTCCCCCCAAACCCCGGGATTTCCCCCCAAAACCCGAAATTTCCCCCCAAAACCCGAAATTTCCCCCCAAAATCCGGGATTCCCCCCCAAAACCCGGGATTTCCCACCCGAAATTTCCCCCCAACCTCCGGGATTTCCCCCCAAAATCTGCTATTTCCCCCCCAAACCCGCGATCCCCCCCCCTGCCGTTCCCGCACTCACGTTTGTTCCGGTAGAAGTTCCCGGAGATGGCGATGCCCTCGCAGCGCACCACGACCACGCGGCGCCCTGGGGACGGCCCGTTACTCCCCGGCACTCCCGGTTCCCCCCGGTTATCCCCGTTTTCCCCCCGTTTTTCCCTGTTTATCCCCGTTTTTCCCCGGTTTTCCCCCGCGCTCAGCTGGTAGTGCATGGAGGCGCCTCTCATTGTCGCCAAACTCGACAGCCGACAGCGGCTCATCACGGCGCGGGGTCGTTTCCGGTGAATTGTTCCCGGTGTATTCCCGGTAAATTCCCGGTATTCCCGGCACTCACCGAGCAGCACCTGCTTGGCCACGATCGCCGCCAGCCGCCCCAGGAGGTGCCCGCGGCCATCGATCACCAGAACCTGCGGCGAGGGGAGCGCCGGTGAGCCCCGGGAGCGGTACCGGGAGCGGACCGGAATCCCCCGGGATCGGGACCCCCCGGCACCGGGACCAGGCCCGAGCCCGCACCGGGACCGGGCCCGAGCCCGCACCGGGACCAGGCCCGAGCCCTCACCGGGACCGGCACCGGGACCCACCGGCACCGGGAGAGCCCCCCCCCCCAACCTCCGGGATTTCTCCCCAAAATCTGCTATTTCCCCCCCAAACCCGCGATCCCCCCCCCTGCCGTTCCCGCACTCACGTTTGTTCCGGTAGAAGTTCCCGGAGATGGCGATGCCCTCGCAGCGCACCACGACCACGCGGCGCCCTGGGGACGGCCCGTTACTCCCCGGCACTCCCGGTTCCCCCCGGTTCCCCCGTTTATCCCCGTTTTCCCCCCGTTTTTCCCTGTTTATCCCCGTTTTTCCCCGGTTTTCCCCCGCGCTCAGCTGGTAGTGCATGGAGGCGCCTCTCATTGTCGCCAAACTCGACAGCCGACAGCGGCTCATCACGGCGCGGGGTCGTTTCCGGTGAATTGTTCCCGGTGTATTCCCGGTAAATTCCCGGTATTCCCGGCACTCACCGAGCAGCACCTGCTTGGCCACGATCGCCGCCAGCCGCCCCAGGAGGTGCCCGCGGCCATCGATCACCAGAACCTGCGGCGAGGGGAGCGCCGGTGAGCCCCGGGAGCGGTACCGGGAGCGGACCGGGATCCACCGGGATCGGGACCCACCGGCACCGGGACCAGGCCCGAGCCCGCACCGGGACCGGGCCCGAGCCCGCACCGGGACCAGGCCCGAGCCCTCACCGGGACCGGCACCGGGACCCACCGGCACCGGGAGAGCCCCCAGACCGCACCGGGACCGGCACCGGGACCCACCGGTACCAATCCCGGGTCCCACCGGCCCCGAGCCCTCACCGGGACCAACCCCGGCCCTCACCGCGCCCGGGCCTCACCGCGCCCTCAGGCCGCTGCACGCGGCCGCGCCCCGCGCTCCTCCCGCCGCCCGCCCGCGGTTCCCCGCGGTCCCCTGGCTGCCCGGTTCCCTCCCCGATCCCCAGAGTCCCCAGTGTCCCCAGTGTCCCCAGTGTCCCTCACCTTGTGGCGGGTCAGGGCCCCCACGATCAGGGGACACACCATGCCGGACAGCGTCCCCACGCCGTTGCTCAGCCCCATCAGCACGCTGGCGTAGCGCGGCGCGATGTCCAGGTGGTTGACGTTGAAGCCTGCCGGGGGTGGCAGCGGCGTCACCGCGGCGTCCCCCCGTGTCCCCCCGTGTCCCCCCGTGTCCCCGGTGCCCACCCGAGATGGCGAAGCCGCTGAAGCCCACGGCCAGCACCAGGAAGGAGATGGCGACGGCGCGCGAGCGCGAGTAGCCCACCACCAGCAGCAGCGTGGCCTCCATGCCGAAACCTGCGGGGACAATGTTACATTGTCATTGTCACTGTCACTGTCACACTGTCACTGTCACACTGTCACAGTGTCACCGTCACATGGTCATTGTCACTGTCACACTGACAGCCCAGGACCAGCAGCAGCGTGGCCTCCATGCCGAAACCTGCGGGGACAATGTCACATTGTCATTGTCTCTGTCACTGTCACTGTCACACTGTCACCGTGTCACTGTAACTGTCACACTGTCACAGTGTCACCGTCACATGGTCATTGTCACTGTCACACTGACAGCCCAGGACCAGCAGCAGCGTGGCCTCCATGCCGAAACCTGCGGGGACAATGTTACATTGTCATTGTCACTGTCACTGTCACACTGTCACACTGTCACACTGTCACTGTCACACTGACAGCCCAGGACCAGCAGCAGCGTGGCCTCCATGCCGAAACCTGCGGGGACAATGTTACATTGTCATTGTCACTGTCACTGTCACACTGTCACTGTCACACTGTCACAGTGTCACCGTCACATGGTCATTGTCACTGTCACACTGACAGCCCAGGACCAGCAGCAGCGTGGCCTCCATGCCGAAACCTGAGGGGACAATGTCACATTGTCATTGTCTCTGTCACTGTCACTGTCACACTGTCACCGTGTCACTGTAACTGTCACACTGTCACAGTGTCACCGTCACATGGTCATTGTCACTGTCACACTGACAGCCCAGGACCAGCAGCAGCATGGCCTCCATGCCGAAACCTGAGGGGACAATGTCACTTTGTCATTGTCTCTGTCCCTGTCACTGTCACACTGACAGCCCAGGACCAGCAGCAGCATGGCCTCCATGCCGAAACCTGAGGGGACAATGTCACTTTGTCATTGTCTCTGTCCCTGTCACTGTCACACTGACAGCCCAGGACCAGCAGCAGCGTGGCCTCCACCCCGAAACCTGAGGGGACAATGACATTGTCACCGTGTCACTGTCACTGTCACACTGTCAGTGTCACTGTCACACTGTCAGTGTCACACTGTCACAGTGTCACTGTCCCTGTCCCCGGTGTCACTGACCGCCGCAGTTCATCATCTTACACACGTTGGTGGTGGACACGATCCCGCTGTCACACTGGCACACTGTCACTGTCCCTGTCACACTGTCACTGTCACTGTCACACTCACACAGTGTCACTGTCACAGTGTCCGATCCCGCTGTCACACTGTCACTGTCACACTGTCACTGTCACACTCTCACAGTGTCACACTGTCCCTGTCACACTCTCACAGTGTCACGGTGTTACACTGTCACAGTGTCCCCCCGGTGTCACTGACCGCCGCAGTTCATCATCTTGCGCACGTTGGTGGTGGACATGATCCCGCTGTCACACTGTCACACTGTCACTGTCACACTGTGCCCCTGTCCCTATCCCCTTTCACACTGTCACAGTGTCACGGTGTCACGGTGTCACTGTCCCTGTCCCCGGTGTCACTGACCGCCGCAGTTCATCATCTTGCGCACGTTGGTGGTGGACATGATCCCGCTGTGACACTGCCCCTGTCCCCTGTCACACTGTCACTGTCACTGTCACACTGTCACTGTCACTGTCACACTCTCACAGTGTCTGTCACACTGTCACAGTGTCACTGTCCCTGTCCCCGGTGTCACTGACCGCCGCAGTTCATCATCTTGCGCACGTTGGTGGTGGACATGATCCCGCTGTGACACTGCCCCTGTCCCCTGTCACACTGTCACTGTCCCTGTCACACTGTCACTGTCACTGTCACACTCACACAGTGTCACTGTCACAGTGTCTCCCCGGTGTCACTGACCGCCGCAGTTCATCATCTTACACACGTTGGTGGTGGACACGATCCCGCTGTCACACTGTCACACTGTCACTGTCACACTGTCACTGTCACTGTCACACTCACTCAGTGTCACTGTCACAGTGTCTCCCCGGTGTCACTGACCGCCGCAGTTCATCATCTTGCGCACGTTGGTGGTGGACATGATCCCGCGGGAGCGCAGGAAATCGGCGATCTGGCCCCCGATGGGCACCACGATGGTCATCACCAGGTGGGGCAGGGCCGAGAGTAACCCCACCTAAAACAAAAAAATAAAATAAAATAAAATAAAATAACTGAATAAATGAATTATCCCCGATGGGCACCACGATGGTCATCACCAGGTGGGGGAGAGCTGAAAGCAAACCCCCCTGAAATACAGAAATAAATTAATTATCTGTAAATAATATCATTTATTGGAATTTGTTACTATTGTATTCAATTATTGGGGCAGGGCTGACAGCAAAGCCACCTGTGTTTTTGGGGTTTTGGGCATTTTTTGGTGGGGGTTTTTGGGCTGTTTTCTGTGGGGCTTTGTGCGGGTTTTTGCGTTTTTTTTTTTTTTTTTTTCTGGCTTTTTGGGCTATTTTGGGGTGTTGTTGTGGTTTTTTGGGGCCCACCTTACTGATCTCGAAGCCGAACACCTCTAAGCAGGCGGGTCCCTGATGAGCAGCAGGATTTTGGGCTGGTTTTGGCGGTTTTTGGGCTGGTTTTTTTCGTTTTTGGGTTTTTGGGTTGTTTCTGTGCCGTTTTTCGCGGGATTTTTTTGGGGTGTATTTTTGGGCTGGTTTTGGGTATTTTGGGGTATTTTTGGGGCCCACCTTGCTGATCTCGAAGCCGAACACCTCCTCGAAGTAGGCGGGCTGGCTGATGAGCAGCAGGTAGAAGGTCCAGCTGCGGCAGAAGTTGGCCACGATGATGGCGTACACGGGCATGGAGGTGAAGAACTGCCGCCAGGGCGTGGCCAGCTGCGGGGGGCGTGGCCAGGGTCAGCCCGGGCCACGCCCACAGCGACCCCCAGAGTGACCCCAGTGCTCCCAGTGCCCCCAGTAACCCCCCAGTGCCCATCCCAGTCCCTCCCAGTACTCCCAGTATGACCAGCTGCCGCCAGGGCGTGGCCAGCTGGGGGGGGCGTGGCCACAGTCGCCCCGAGCCACGCCCACAGTGACCCCAGTGCTCCCATTGCTCCCCAGTGCTCCCAGTGCCCGTCCCAATGCTCCCAGTAACCCACCCCAGTTCAGTCCATCCCAGTCCATCCCAGTCTGACCCCCCCCGGGTTGCTGCCCACGCTCTCCCCGATGCCCATCCCAGTGATCCCTCCCAGTCCATCCCAGTCCCTCCCAGTGCTCCCAGTCTGACCAGCAGCGGGTTGCTGCCCGCACTCTCCCCGATGCCCATCCCAGTCCATCCCAGTGACCCCTCCCAGTCCATCCCAGTCCCTCCCAGTGCTCCCAGTCTGACCAGCAGCGGGTTGCTGCCCACGCTCTCCCCGATGCCCATCCCAGTGACCCCTCCCAGTGCTCCCAGTGCTCCCAGTCTGACCAGCAGCGGGTTGCTGCCCGCGCTCTCCCCGATGCTCTCCTCGATGTATTTCCGCTCCTCGGGGGAGATCGTGGGGTGCTGGGCCGGGCTCTCGTAGGACACCAGCACCCAGAAGAAGTACCAGAGCACCCCGAAACTGCCTGGGGAACTGGGGTTACTGGGGGAACTGGGAGGGGTCACTGGGATCAATGACAGAGGTAGAGCACCCCGAAACTGCCTGCTGGGGGTTACTGGGGGAACTGGGAGCACTGGGAGGGGTCACTGGGGTCACTGGGAGAGGTACCAGAGCACCCCGAAACTGCCTGGGGGTTAATGGGGTTACTGGGGGAACTGGGAGCACTGGGAGGGGTCACTGGGATCAATGGGATCAATGGGAGAGGTACCAGAGCACCCCGAAACTGCCTGGGGGTTAATGGGGTTACTGGGAGCATTGGGAACACTGGGAGGGGTCCCCCAGGGGGCTCTGGGGATCCTGGGGGATCCCGGGGGGCTCTGGGGGTCCCGGGGGTCTCACCGTAGACGTAGAACACGGAGCTCCAGCCCGTGTACTGCACCAGGACCCCGGCCAGCGGCATGGCGACCACCGCCCCCGCGTACGAGCCTGGGGGGGGCGTCACTGGGGGCACCCCCGCAGACCCCAACCCCCCCACAACCCACCCGGAGACCCCCCCGGAGACCCCCGGGACCCCAGACACTCCCCAGAGACCCCAACCCCCTGGAGGGTGGTGGACATGA